TTTGTAATCTAGTCTCTGGATATTGAAATCTCACTGTGTTTCCAAACCAACTTCATTTATTTGCAGTATGTCATCTGGTATATCAAATAACTTTTTCTTTTACTGTTGCCACACAGAAGTAAAATTAATTTGTTCTTGTAGGTAGAGAACTCCATTCAGAAATTGAAATACTTGTTCTCTGCATATTCATATCTTGTGATATCTACTTCTTTTTTTAAGGACATGACTGAGATTTAAATACCTTTTTGTGCCTAGAATTTGTGAATCACTTTCTTTTTGATCAGTGCTGGTTCATAAGCATTCAGCAGGTTTTCTGTGCTTTGTTGTTTGCTTGGTGTTTCTTCTTTGGTTGGTCTGATATGTTTTCTATTTTGCTTATTTTACATAACTCATTGCTCAGTTCTTGCAATTTGTCCTTGGAAATAATGTGGGCTTGAACATGTTTAAAGAACATAATACAGTAACATGGAAGAGACATGGGAAGACAAATTAAGAAAATTCAATGGACAGGCCGCTTGACCTGTTATGTTCATTGGTAGTTCTTATGAACACTAGTCATACAGTTGTTATTTTTTCCCGTTTCATCTACTTCAGACACTACTACATTTTATTCTTCATCCGCACATGCTTTCAAGCAAGAAAAACACTACTAATATGAGCTGAAATCCATAAGGAAATGTGTCCTTTTAATATGTCCTGGTAAATCTCAGGTTGGCACTATTCTGTCTATGACATCTGTGAAAAACAACAAAGGGCAAATTCTCCATTTTCAAATAGTTTCCAAACCTATTTACTGCTTACATACTAAATGAACAGTGCTAGGAAGGAAACATTTTAAATTAGAGTTTGTTCGTTTGGTGTATGGTGTCACAAGTGAGACTGGGAAGGCCTATTTTAAAGAAGAGTCTAATCATTTAGACATATTTCACTAGACTGCTGGACACCTTGAAAGGCTCAATGGTAATGAACAAACAGGCATCTCCTACACCATAGCCCAGCTGAGCAGTGCTGAATGATGAGTACATCTTGTCTAGCTGGTAGCAACAAGGGACCCTTACTCTGCAGTGAATCAGCTGGCAGAGGAAAATGTAATGCTTGATTTGTCACCATTTTCTGTTAGCTTTTGCCCACCGTGCACTGCTGCTGAGTAGCTGTTCAGAGCTGGAATAGCTCCTGGTGCTACTCTCCATTGGAAGCAGAACTTGCAGGAATGGAAGATGGAGTGGTGATCACAGTAGCCACACAGCACAGACTCTCCAAACCGGACTGATTCCTGTCATACGGTGTGTCAACCAAAAATGTAGATGCATGCTTATATATGTACACATACACACACAAATGGTTTTGTATTATAAAACCCCACTGAAACAAGAAAGCCCCGGGCATGCAGATCAGACAGCTAGTCCAGTATCCTAAAATCATGCTGGAAAGTTACTGCAATTTCCTTTCCAGACATCTGCCATATCCAGCCTGCTTTCTGAGCAGATGAAAACTGACGGAGCCAAATGATGATGAAAAGTTGTAAGGGCAATGCAGTTAACAGTTGCCCCCACAGAAAGAGAAAATGTCATTTTATCAGCACAAACGTGTTACTTGGGCAGCAGCCGCAGCACCGCCGGGCCAGCGCTGCTCTGAGCCAAGGCTCGAGCTGCAGGAGCATCCTGGGAGAGACAACACTGGGGCTACTGCTGGAAGAACTAACTGAATGAAAATGGGCAGCCTACTTTGGTGAGGAAGCAGGTGGTTTTATTGAAATGTATGAACAGCAACATTTATGAAAGGAGGCTGAGTTACTCATGGCTGAAATAAGTTTATTCACCCTTTGATGGGAAACTTTTGTCCAACACATTATTCACTGGTTTATACAAGCAGTGCTGGAAAGAATGTGTTTAGTCATACCATCTTGCAACTTGATGTCTGGTAATGCAGAACGCCAGATTTGATCCAACATTTAAGAATGAATAAGACCATGTGAATTGTCAGAAGCCTTTCTCTGTGTACTGAATCCAAAGGTCTATGATAAAAACCACTCATCCAGCTTTTAAATAATTACATTTACATTTAAGAAATGTAGATAAAATATTGTTACAGCAGAACTGTGGGGGAATAAGGGTTTGTGATGTAGCCATTACTCGTGACCAAAAATTTAGAGATATCTCAATATTAAGTTAGCTGTTGTGTGAGTTAAGGGAAAAATTTGCTCAGAATAGTCTTAAGGTCATAGTTTGAAACTTAGAGCTTTTGTTTTTAAAGTGTTTACAATTCTGGCTGAACATCTAAGAAAATGCAAACATTTACAATAGAGCTGCAAGTGAGACACACAGTGCAGCATTCATTATTGTGCCATAATAAATAAAATCACTATTGCAGAATTGTGCATGACAAATATGGATTTATATACATAGATGTGATTAATAAAAATTACAAGTTTCATAAACTTACCAGACCAGTAGTAGTTTTTACACTATTTGTGGTTAAAGTTGTCCCTGCAGAAACAATGCTTCTATTGGTGAAATGATTGCCACATTCAAAGTACACAATGCTAATCACATCAGCAAATGCAGAGGCATTGCAAGGCATCTCCAAGGGGAACTGGTATAGCACGGCTCTGGACACTTCTACATCCATTCATTCATGCTTGATAATTCCTGTCCTCTCCATTACCATTTCCTTTTATAGAAAACTCCTGGGGCTGCAGGTTAATCTCGAATAAAACATTCTGTCATGTTGCCGGATGCAATAGTAATGGAAACCTGAACACATTTCATACACATCTGTAAATATTGAGGAGGAGTTAAGCTCCTGACTCATACACCATATATTCAGCTCTTTTTAATACTGCATCTTGAAAATCCACCTACCCAGTCTGATGAATCATTCAACCGTTCTTTCTCTGTAGCCCAGACAAAATTTAGTAGGGGGCTCTCTCAATTGCTCTGTGACTCACTAACCTCTTTTTTTTTTTTTTTTTTTCACCTTTTGCTGCCAAAGCACTCATTTAAAAGTAAAAGATCTAATACCATTTTGTAGGTTAGTGTGTGAATGCTGACTGGAAGGACTCGGTCACAATGATATTGCTGATGTCTGCTACCATGAAGTATAAACACCAACCAGCTCACTGGTTTCATCTCTGACCAAGGAGGTGTGTTTGCAACAATAAAGTAATTGCTACACGTCTCTTCACTGTGCATCACTGCTGGCTCAGCTCCTGAGCCAATTTATACCAGCATTGCACTCTTGATGTTAGCCATGCTGCAGAGATTTATGGCAGCTGAAGTGACAAACAAACTCCAGCACTTGCCCCCAAATGGAATCAACAACCAGCTCCAGACCCCCTTGCCTACAAACCAGTGTTAAAGCCAGTGATGTTACTCTTTGCTACAATCAGTACAAAAGAAAAAATTAAGTAAAATCAATTGATTACTAGTCATGATTAAGTAAAACAGAGGAGAATAAAGTGACTTGCCCAATTTCATGGTTGGATCACGGCAATGCATACACCATCACAAAAAACTGTAAACAATCACAATGACTTCAATCCAGTTCTTCATTCTCTCAAGACATCTGCCACCTTTCACAGGCTTTTCTCTAAAACAGTTTTAAGTCACAGGCTTGTAGCAAAATACAAGTTTTGATTATGAACTTGATTGTCTCATGAATGTTTTGGCAGCCTATTTGCATAAAACATCTCGTCATTAAAACAAGGGTGAGAAAAACACTCATCAATTTGTTTTTCACCAAGAACATTCCTTAAGGCATAGAAACAAAGGTCAGCTGAAATTCTGAGCTCCACTTTTAAAATATTCACGCAGAATGGAAAATGTATGCAAATTACATGGAAATGTACTAAAATAATAACAGTGTGCTAAAGATACAAAATTTCAGAAATTTCTTGCAACATTTGTGGGCATTTTAATTGCAATCAAAACAACTGTTACAATGTTTACTTCAATATTTTCTTGCAGAGTTTCAATAACACAGAATACCCATCTACCACTGTACCTCAGATCAGAGAGATTTCATATGGACCTGCCCTCTTCAGAAAATCAGATCGCACTTTTTATTGGCTCTTTCAAAATTATGAGGCAGATCTGGTAGGTGGATAGAATGAAAACTGTCAATTAATATACTTGGAGGAATTTGTTTATACTGGACACTAGAAGATCTTGGTCTCTGAAACTCATATGCAGCTTCAGTAACACCCAAAACTAATTATTTTTTTGGATTCAAACTACTTTAAATCAGGAAGGAATATCCTGAATTTAGCCTAAAAAGAGTAAAATAGAGGCTCAAGCCCATAATTTTATAATTTCACAGTTGCTGTGTTAACATAAAAAGAAAAGTTATCCTGCTGCTTCAGTTAAATGCCAAATTGTTTAAGGAAAACAAACATCCTGGTGCTTGGCACATATTTTTGACATGAATACTATGATTGCCAGCTGTAAGGCAGTAAAAATAATAGGCTGTTGTAATCTAAGGAGTGCAAAAAGGATGCACCATCTATCACTGTTCCAATTTATTTCTACTATTTCCCTTATTTCCCCACCTCTTTTCCTTCTGACCTTCATGCAGATTCTGCAAGTAAACAAATTATTCTTTATTCTCTGCCTTTGGTTTTGTGACCTTTCCCTGATGTTGTTGTGTGAAGCTGTTGTACTGGATTTGTGTGTTCAGGAACACTGGGGCACTGGAGAACTAAAAATAAACTAAAAGCAGCCAGGATGCTGTTGTGGGTTGTATTTAGTGTTTAAAGACCATAACAAAAAGCATACACCATAGTATGAGATCAGAACAAGAAAAGGGTAGTATGACAAGGTTATGGGGCTACTGAATCTCTGAGGGCAGAAAGAAAACACTTAAAAAACCTCTTCAGAGCCATGTTCCACCCTTGGATAACAATTAAAACTTTTCAGAGGTTTTGAATAAACAGAGCCGTGTAATCAGATATGTGATAAAAGTCCAAAAGCAAGCAGCCTGTCCTTCAAATGAAATTCACTCACCTGTGAATGATGTGATACCTCTGCAAATAATCCAAGGAAAGCGCCAGCTCACAAATGTACAGCTTAACAGTTCCTTCATTAAAGTGGACGTTCTGCTGCAAATGGTAACGCAGATCGCCTCCGAGTAAGAGATCAACCACCATGAACATATCTTCTTCATCTTGAAAGGAATACCTGAAAGAAAGAGTTACAGCTGAAATCTCAGGGCCACTGATGCAACCAGAGCCATGCCCTGGAGCAGCTCTCAGTAAGTTGACCTGTTCATGGTAAATAAGTCCATGATTTGCTCAAAAGGCATACACTGATTTCTCACTGCTGCGGTCTCATCCTGCAACCAGATTTTGATTGTGGTGGGACTTTCTGCATAGTCAAGGCAAGCAGAGCTTGAACTGCTGCTGTACTACTATCTTATTTTAACCATCGATTAAGACCTGAATGTTGGTAAAATAGCATTTAAAATACCTTTCAGGCTTTTACATTTTTAATTAACCATGTACTCATTCAGTTGACAAAATGGTGTAATAAAGAGCAGCAATAAAATGGAAGGCCCTGAAACACACATGGTATTGACACACGTACAACTGTAACTCAGTGCCTATGAAAAGTATCCTGGCAGGATCAAGATCTGCTCTCCCAGGGGTATTTTCCAGATTCAATAAATACACGCAATATTCTATTAGCTGAGTATTTTCTATAGCTTGCAGTGTAGCTCCAAATTCAGTAAGAAATAAAACTGTAATTTTACTTCCTTATAATACATATTTTTTCAGTCTGCAACTTATATCTTATAAACTGACAGAGTCTTCATGGTTACTGACTGAATTCTTCTGGACCCTTTCCCAGAACTGCCTGTTGAATACTCTGAGGACCAAATTCCGATCTGATTTAAATCCTGTAAATCCAAAGGTGTAGCCAGCCAGTGTATAGTGTATATAGTGTGCTTCGACAAGCAGGAATTTCCATGTGTTTCTACTTAACTTGGCTATGTTGCCATTGCTCTGTTTATTTCTGATCTGAGCGAACTGACAGAAGCTCTCTGGTTTTCATTTCTTAATGCAACTGTCTGAGATACAGTATTTTAGATTTCCCAAATGGGGAATGGTAAATACCTTCTTTCTAATATAAAGTCACTCTTCTCTTAGAAATTAGTTTAAAATTCATTTTGATGTGAAGTTATATTAGCTTATACCAGTTGTGGATGTGAACTGCTGAGAGGTGATCCACAATGATAGTGCCTCTTCCATTGCCTTTTTTCCCATTAGATGTGTAATATTTGTTGGCTACAGATGTGATTCTGTTCTCCCGAACTGTAAAATATATGCTAAGGAAATGAAAAAGAGTGGGATTCCAGAAAATCTGTGCCCACCCTCCCCCAAAAGGCAGAAAAGTCTATATTAGATTATTTTAATTGACAGTTATGTGGTTTCACTTTCATTCCCAGGCTTGCACTTTCCGAAATGCGGCACTGTTTAGGGGTTGTCACAGATGGTTCATTTTTGAATTTAAATGCTTTTGAGTCTTTCTGAACACAGTTCTGAGAAGTGAGTATCTCTAGGTACTCTGCTCTTCTGTTGCATTTCTGTATGCCTGCCAAATGTCAGGAGGGGAAAGCCATTTTATTTTCATTAAGTTTACTTCTCAATAAGTCAAATCTCTGACTTAGTAAAGTAGTAAAGTAGGTGGCACATGGTTTCTGCTCACCTCGAGAGTCTCAGATTTCATAACACACACATTTAAAAAAAAAAAAAAAAGCTTCAATTACATTCAAATTACTCTGATTGTTGCACATTACTGAGCCTGGAACAATTGCAAAAATAAGCTTAAATATGTGGTTATGTTTAAGATATTTTCTTTTTTGACACTGCTGTTATTTTAAATGAATTAGTTTTAGCATTGAGCAGATGTAATGAGAGATGTTATTTTTTCCCTTCAGATACTGTTTGAGTAAAGTGTAGATTTTGTCTGGTTTATATATATATATATATATATATATATATATATATATATATATAAAGTTCAAAAAGAGAAGTTAAAAATTCAAAACTCTACTTAAATGTATAATTGAAATACTGTGTCTAGTCTGGGACTAAAGAGCTCTTGTGATGTCTAGAATCGTATGATTACATATCAGTAAAAATGCTTCTGATACAACTCTGGTATTGAGAAGGAAAATGTCCTGAGTAATTCCTTCAGTGACTCAGCTACCATGAGGCAGAGGGTGAAGGCAGGGTAAAAGTGACTGTTGTGAACTTGCTTTTAAATTCAATGGCTATTCCCATTTCTGGCAAAATGATGAGTGTGTTTCAAAGTGTACACATTAATATTTAGTCTAGATAAAAGAGCCATCAGAACAATCTGGAAATAAATGTGAAATCTTGTCCACATCCAGGTGAATGCTAACACTTGATGGAGCTGGGTTTTCACTCCAAACATGTTTCTGCTTATGCACTCTGTTTTCCTGTGCTTGTGAGTGGGGTGTGGTAGTCCTTTGTCATCTCTCAGTCAAGCTTTTGGTGCATCTGTGAATTGTTAATGATTTAACAGAGAGATCAAAAAGTTGAACTGGAAAGAACTGGTACTCTATGCCATTTCATTATGTCAGGAAATAATTCTGCATAGAAGAGCATGACTACAGTCAGGTGCAGACGGTTGCATGTTGATTCTGCTCACACTCCATAAAAATGCAAGAGAACCACACTAGGTCAGACTAGACATCTAACCAACGTGGGAGTCACCAGAGAGCAGATGCTCAGGGAGGAGCAAAGAACACTATATATGGAGATATATAAAGCTTTCCTTGAGGATTCAGCCAACGTCCACTCATTCACTGCTCCGGGATTCTCAGAGACTGTTTGGCATCTCTGGGAATTCAGATGGTGATGACGAGAGGTGGGTTTTCTCCAGGGACCTGTCAGGCTTGTTAGTGAATGATTGGTCTCCTGCTACTACACCTTGCCTCTCAGGTAAACATATTAAGGTAAGTACATTCACTACAAACAGAGCTACAAGGCTTTCAGAGGTGACAGTACCTCTAGAACAAAGTGTTTTGAACCCAAACAGGAAAAAAAAAAAAAAACCAAACCAAAACAAAAACAAACCAAACTTGAAGAGATCCAGAAATATGGCTAATGTTTGCACTTAATAGCCTTCCTGCATCAGACACTTTTAAGATTTGGATGGACAGAGCGCTGGACCATCTTGTCTAGATGATGCTTTTGCCAAGAAAGGTTGGACCAGATGATCCTTGAGGTCCCTTCCAACCTGGCATCCTATGATCTGTCATGACCTGTGAATGGAACACAGGCCAGTTTTATTTAGATGTTGAGGCTAGAATGATTCACACTGACACAGATCTTGAGGAGCTCTGTATATCCTCTCCAATGTTCTCCTCTTTCACTTGGAGCCAGGTTTTTCTTTCATTTGTACTGATATATATATGGTAACTCTGATGATCCTGTCAGAAGCATTATATATTCCAGTATAGTTAAGATATAAGCTGTATAGGCCCAGTTTGAAAGAACAGATACTCTGGATGGATATGTTCAGTATATCATTAGACTTTTTCACCCACTCTAAATTATATTGCACCTGACACACATCATTATTCTAATCATATGTACATAGCCATGGATAATGGCAGTTTCCCTGCACAGTCAATCCAGTTGAGTCACACCTGCATGGATGGAATTTCTGGATCAGACCACAGTGTGATTAAAGGTGCTGCAAGACCATTCCAAGAACATTTCTGGAGGGTAAATGAGTTCATCCCAGTGAAATTATGTGTCTATGACCTAGAGGAGAGCTTGGATACAGCAAACAGCAGAAGGTCCCTGGAGCTGATGGCCACTCCACTAGGTAGCTCCTTCAGCTACACATTTCCAAGATACTGAAAGCAGAGGAGGATTTGCTCCAGGTCCTTATTGTGCAGCTGGGTACTGAATGATGTTGCTCCTGCTCTGTGTTAAGAACTCACAGGAACTGGTGTACCAGCTCCTGACGGGTTTGGTTTATCATGGCCACAAGCAGTGTAGTCCTCTGTCTCTCTCCCTTACACAAATACAGTATTCTTTCTTTACACAACGCATGAAGTATTGCCTTTTAACTTCTTGGGTTTTCAGTATTTCAAGAAATAAGTGGATTTGATTTAGTGGTCTAAAAATTGAAATTGACAGCAAGTGAATTATTTGCTATGGGAAAAATTAATCTTTGAAAATATAGCTGCAGGTTGGGGAGGGGCTGGTGGCAAATTAGCCCAGTGGAGATTAGTTTTTTGAGTAAGCACTGTAATTTTACTTTTGTAAGCTTCTTATCTGCTCAAACACAAATTACATACAAAAGAGTTGATTGTTTTTTGAAGTAAAATCAGAGGTTGTTTGGGATTTTTATGTTAACCAGGTAACTGAGAAATACCTACTGAATGAATTATAGCATTATGACTGATATTGAATATTAATAATACATTACTAAGTTACTGTAAAGACAAAATTTTAATCCTCCTTGAAATGAAAGAATAAATGACTTGGAGTAAATTTTTTGTTTGTTTCTTTTTTTGTTTTCTTTTTTTTTTTAGTTTCACGAACCAGTCATAGGAAAACTGTTCTAATTACAAAGCTAGTCTCTGCTTTCTCTTGCTTGAAGAAAAGTTTTAATACATTAAAATCAGCTTTATCCAAATTAAGATAAAATAATAATGGCCCTAGAAACAGTAAATTGGATTTTTTATTATCTTCAGACTAGAAGATAAACTACCATTGAATAAACTCCTCCATGGGAACAAATTTAAAGAAAGTACTTTCTAAATAAGTTATATCTGTTTCCATATTTATATTTGTATATTTGTTTTAATAATATCTATTTTTTGTATTTATATCATATTTATATTTATTATTCGTATCACTGTCTCTTCACAAAATTAGTTACAGATGAATTATTAAGATCATTTTTTCCCTCTGCATTTCTTCATCTTAGTTAGCTAGGGTAACTTTTTATTGAAATCCTGCCAGATGAGGCATCCAGTATCCAGAGTTCTTGTTTCATATGTATTACCTGGTGAAAAGGACACCATGATGGATATTCTATATATGACTTTAACAGTAAAAACACATTACAAAAATGTCATCATTAAGCTGAAACCAAACTTCATAAATCTGAGGTAATCAGTTAAAGCAGGATAT